CTCCAATTCTCACCCCACCCAGGTGTAAAAGTGGTAGATCTACCGACTAAAGACAGCGACGGTTTTGTGAATGTAGGTGTTCTGCACGTCACAGACTGCAGCACCTGTAAGAGATGACGGCCTCTAGACGGCATTTGGTAGAAACCTCCACCCACAAGTGGGCGTTTTAGAAACTTTGGTTGGGGTGGGGGTGGGGGGGAGGAGGTAGGGATCACCCAGATAGTGGTGACAGGTGTAATTTTTACGCTTCCTTGGAAATACATGCAGGTGGGCGATATGATTGTTTTAACCTTTCAAAGGTGACAAAAGTGGGTTCTGGCTATAAAAAGGCTGACAAGAGCTGGATGCGACTGTACTAACAGAAGTAGCATATCAATATTATCGTTCTTTTGTGAAAACCCAACTAAAGAATCATTGTCTACAGAGCAATAGCATTTATAAATAACGCAGTATCATCATTACTAGTCTATTATTTTCATGTAGTCGTGGCATATAAATAGACCAGCAAAACTGCAGAAAGTCACAAATGTAGCTTTCTTTTTTGCATATTTCGGCCAGCTGAAGGGATGTTTTTAATTTGTCCATGTTCAAGTAGCTATTTTTGTGACCTAGAATGACAAAAGTTCTATCTGCTCAGTACCTAGTTTTGAGAAATTTGGCATACAAAATGTTGAGTTTTACAACGGGGTCTCTCGTGCCCTAGAGGTTAAGGTGTTTGTTCGCCTCTCATTCAATAGGTCCAGGGTTCGAATCCGGATACTGACGGAAAATTTTCTCCTCTAAAATGTTCTCCTTTCACATCCTTTCCAGTTCTCTAACAATGTTCTGTCGTCTGTTTTTGTCTCCACTTTCTGCCCCCACCCCCTCACCTCCTTTGCCCCTTCCTCTGGACTCCCGACTCTTTCTGCAGCCTTTCTACTACTTCTCCTTGGCTCCTTCTTACTGCTGTCTTTCAGCCACAGCCCTGATTCTATGGTAGGTAAAATCTATACCTAGCCTTCTCGCACTAGGGAGCAAAATCTCGGAGGTCCCGTGTGCAAGTTGCGCATGTTCAAGATCCCTTAGTGGTCCAAAATCGATTAAAGAAGGTTTCTGTCGCCACCTGGACAAAATTCAAAATTTCATACCTACTGCAAATGTTTGGTGTGTCCCGAGTGCTCACATGAGCTTATGCAATTGCGAGCGCTGTAAAACACTCACCAAAAAACTCCCCAACAAAATCCAAAGTTTCACAACGCACAATTCTTTGAATATCTTGGTAGCGACTCCCAATAATCTTATGATTTTGATAGAGCATATAGAACATCTGGTTTTTGACCTCGAGTGCCTCAAAACGACCAAAAATGTCACAGAAAATTTACTTTGTAATTCTAACATAACGATTTGCCCCCAATTGCATGCCGAGAAGAAGACTTTCAATTTTGGAGTTTTAGATTGTTGTTGTGGTAAGCCACGAAAATAGTCAGTGGCCTAGGGGTGTAGCGTGGGGATTACAGGTGCGGGGATTCGAGGGTTCGAGCGTGAGCTCGGTCCGACGTTGTGTCCTTGGGAAAGACCCTTTACACAATTTTCCCATTTGGCTCGGTCCCTTCGGAGGTGGACGCTAAACTCGAATGTCAAAAATGTCAGATATAAATTTGTTATTCTGAGGTACCGGTTGTTTGTCTTTGATGGAACAGAGCCAACAGGGAGGTGAGACATCCACTTCTCCATACAGTCAACGCTCAAATAGCACTCTCTTGGGATTTTCCGGTCCGGGGGTTGCCAAAGTGCCGTGTTATTTTTCTGAGACTCCCAAAATACGATCATATTTTTTTTTTTGCTTTTCAGGACAAGCGGGCTAACCCAGATTTTGAGGGTTAGAAAACTTGACCTACACCAAAAGTGAACATTGCCTTACCTATAGGAGAAATTTGGTTTCATTGGTGTGTATAATTGTTTGGTTATAGAGAAAACTCTGCTTATCTCTTAAAGGGTCCAAAAACTTTAACTTCGATTTTCTCCAAACAGCATTTTTCGGGATAGCCCCCTTGTGCTTAAAAGCGACCATTTATGCCAATGTCCCTTTCTGTTAGGGAGCTACTGAGCCAAACAGTACCCGTCAAACGGCGACAGACGGAAACTGACGAAAACAGACGAACATATTGCATTTCTCTTCTGAGCCAAGAGAAAATAAGAGCCTAACCATGCCAGCCAGAGAGGTGGTTGACAGTTGGTGAACTATTCCTGCAGTGCGATTACTGGATTAGCTTTTTTCAATATATAAATATAAATAT